ATAAAATGAAATTTAATCAACAGATATGAACTACTGCATCTTAAAAATCTATCTAAAAACATAATTTGCATGAAAAAATAATAAAATCCCTTGTTTGTGAGTTTTAAGATCTTTCTTTTTTCCACCAGCATGTGCTGTAAAGTTGAGACAATTAAATCATATCATTGTTTCTCAAACATTTTAACTACTAGCCTTAAGCAGACTGTTATATTTACACATAAAAAGTCATTTTAAAAGACAAATAATACTTTCAAGTAAGTCATATTTAAACTTGTGAAAGCTCTTCACTAGGAATTCAACTAAAAGCATTCTTCTATTTTTCACATTTGGATATAGCTTTAGCTGCATCGTCAGGAAATTCTTCTCAGATATTAAGACCATTTTCTCCCAATGAAGAATCCTTCATTTCTCAAAAGTCTTACATGAACCATAAAACCACCGTAAAGTAAAAACCCTTCGAATTTTAGACTTGTGAGTCATTACTGCAGGTGTGAAATCCAGACATGAGAAGAAACAGTCTTTGTCAGCAAAGGAAGGAATTCTTTGTGTTCCAGAAATTTTTAAAAACTGAACAGAACCGTGTCTTTTGTGGTTACATTAATCCTACTTCCTTAATTAGCATTTCTAATAAACCATTTTCCACTTATAATTGATAAAGGGAAGATTCAAAGTCAGAAACATGAAAATTCTCTGATTATTTTAAAAATAACTCAAAGGTCTCACTGTGATTTAGTGAGACCACTACTTGTCAGTTTTGATTCAGATGGTGTTATTGATCCTGATTTGATGCTTAAATTTTGAAATTTTCCTAGTTAAAATACAATTATGGTTCCATTTCCCTATAAATGTTTTTCTTTGAGAATAAATCAGTATTATATAATAATATAACATCCAAAATAGTTTCCCTAAAGTTATGCATCACAAATATATCCATCCTAATTCCAACATTTTGACCCAACAAGAACTGAGTAAAGTTCTCCACAGATGTATATATTTTAGGGTGTCTAGAACTTTATGGGAGAGACCAACAGGGCAGCAGTAGCTGTGATGGTTATCACGTTATGACCAAAGTAGCATATTCAGGAGTAGGTTTTATATGATTCATACACTGGTAAGAAACAGCTATAGACTACTCTCTGGAGGGCAGGCAGGCAGAATTGTAGTTTAGGGAATCAGTGGCAAGTTTTTCCAACGTGAAACCAGTGTTAAGAAGTAAGCCATCTGTGTGACCTTTGCATTTGCCATACAAATGTGTGATGAGTTCACCGGCAGCATTTCGGAGAAAAGCAAGCAGGGCCTGAATAATTATTTCAGAGTGAACAATACAATCTATTATAGAATGACCCTAAAGGGGGTGCTCAGTTCACTAAAAAAATATGTGGTAAACTCAGCCTTCTGCTGAATCATGTATACTGAAAAATGGACCACTCACACCACAACCTTAAAAAATCTGGTTCTTCACTATTCATCATAATACTAGGCAAGCATCTAAAAATCCCTGCCAAGTCATGGCACAGAGGCATGATTTAAGTATTGCCACTTCTGTTGTTAAAAAATAATACGTATCACCGCATCATCCTGAAAGCATACAGTGCTAGGGTAGTGGAAGAGCTTAATCTTTTCATTGTAAGATCTAATTTGTCTTTACTAATTTTAAATATATCCTTTATAACACGCATTTCTATTACACTTGGGTCTAATCTAGTTCATTGATATATTTTTTATGTCACTTCCACATTAATTTTTTAAAATAAACTTCTTCTTTTGGTATAGCTTTAGATTGAAATAATTATCGCAAAGATAATATAGAGCTCCTATGTGGCCTGTACCCAGTTTCCCCTATTGTTTAACAACTTACATTAGTAGGGTGCATTTGATAAAACTAATTAACCGGTATTGATACATTCTTATTAATGATTCTTAATTAATGAAGATTTTCTCAGTTTTTCGCTAGTGGTCTTTTGTTTGTTTGTTTCAGGATCCCACCCAGGAAACCACGTCATGTCTCCTTAGGATTCTCTTGGCTGTGATAGTTTCTCAGACTTTCCTTGTTTTCAATGACTTTGAAAGGTTTGAGGAATGCTGGTCAGCCATTTTGTAGAATGTCCTTTAATTTGGATTTGTCTGATGTATTCCCCATGGAGTTACAGGTTGTTGGGAGGAAGACCACGGAGGTAAAGTACCGTTTTTTTTTAATCAGCATGATTCATTATTGTTGGTGTTGACTTTGATCACCTGTCTGAGGGAGGGTCTGTCAGTTTTCTGCACTGGAAGGCTGTTATCTCCCACCCCCACTCCCCGACCCCTGCCTTTTATCTAGTCTCCTTTGAAGGAAGTCACTAAGAACAGCCTACACTTGCGGCAGAGGAACTACATAAATCATTTGGAATTCTTCTGCATGGGAGATATGTCCTCTCTCATTTATTTATTTATTCAATCATTTATATCAGCTTAGACTCATGAATATTTATTTTATAATTTGGGTAGAAGTATAATCCCATACCACCTTATTTTTTTATTCAAATTGTTCTAGCTTTGGCCACTAGGAACTTTTGTGTCTCTTTGACATATGCCAACTTTGGTTGGTTTGTTGTTGTAGTTGTTTGTTTGTCTTTCAGCAGTTCCTTGCATTCAGGCACTACAACATGCGATGCTCTGGGCTCATTTTGTGTATTTCGTGCCCTAGAATCAGCCATTTCTCCAAGAAGCCCTGATTCCCGTTGTTAGAACCAAGAAAGATCTAAATGCTAGGTGTACTCGGGAGTTTTATTTTCAAGTTCTAAATCCTACAGCCTGTCAAATACAATTTTTAAATGGTGTTGTTGAGTCGACCCAGTGAGGAGTATGCTTTGCTGACACTGAGCCATGGGTAAACATGGGACACTGGCTGTCCCACCAGGACTGGAAGTGCTGGGTGCCACGTGCCTGTTGTCTTGCTTACTTTCCAGAACACTCTGGTCCTCTCGTGTGCATGGCTCCCCAACATTCATCGACTTGCACTTTAGAATTTTCAGATAGCAGATACATACACAAGAACTGCTAGATTGCAGTTATGTGCATGAAAGTCTCTGAATTAATCAAGTGATCTCGATGTGTGACAGACATTAGCATTTCTAAACTAAGCACTTGGGAGCATGGGAACATAGAACTCATATGTAGTATCTAAAGAAGACATCTTCTCTATTAAACTGCCTCTAAGTATCAACATGTAAACAGGAGCCTCGCTTTCTGTCACTGGTATGTGCCCTGTGACCTGCAAGGGGGATGACATATACTAGGATAAATGAGCTAGAAGGGTGCTGTGGAGTAGCAAAGATATTTAGACAAAATTTGGGTGTGTGTATTTTCCTCAACTTCCCAGAATATACAAACTTGAAAGGGTGCAGTCTCATATGCTTTATAATATCCTCAAGCCTAGTTTATTTTAAAATGAATAGGAAGTTAAGTGGAGAGTAGATTATAATGATATACATCAGAAAAGCCACTTGTATAAATGCAGAAAATCTCATTAAACAATGTTTTTTTACTGGAATATGGGATTCAAGAATGTGAGCAGATTGAATGAAGCACTATATTGAATTATTAAGTTATTAAATAAACATGCATTTTAGGTCAATGTCTTCCCAAATACAACATAAATAAGATTTTTACATAAAGAAACATTATTAAATATCATTCTTTTTGAAAAGAATAGACTCCAGTATTTCCTATATATACAAAATATTGCTCATTCCAATTTCAAAAATGTAAAACAACAGTGAAAAATTAAAAATTTAAACACTGAAAATGATCTTTTATCTTTTTTGGAAAATCAATTTTTCTGGTTATTATTAGTTTTAATATGGGACACTATTTAAGAGCTCAGAGAAAAATAAAGTGGTTAGACAGTTTTATGACAGTGGACAGGAACGCAGAAATAATTTTGGATAATAATATATTCAGCCGGCAAGATTGGGACAGGTTCTATTACAGAATGGGGATTTATATCACCAATTAACAGACTTACATGCAACTCCAAAAAGTCAATTTTAAATGATGAAATGAGGTCACATGGCAAGTGGAGAAAAATATGCCAGAACGGATGGACAAAGGCATTTAAGGAAAAAGGAACACTTGGATAAATTCCAGTTTAGTTTAGCAAAACTAAGAAACGTGTAGGTGAGGAGGTATGAACAATTTTATTTAGGGAAGTGACATTGTCTGTTTTAGAATAATATAACCTGGTATTAATTATATACTTTAACTACTTAAAACCAGAAGCATTATTTTCCTTTTCAAAAATACTCCATAAACATCCTCCTAAAGACTCACCTATTAATATAAATTCACATCTTTCAAGCCTTTCATACTTTTTGCTAACATCCATTATAAAACAAATGTACCATTTTGTCACTCAAAAAGTAATACGCCAACTAATAGATCACATAGCACAGGGATTCCAACGTGAAAAATGCTGCAGGTTCAAGCTATAAACTGCCTTGTATCTCAATAGTGTCACAGTGCCTTACGAAGCGGGATACTAAAATTCAATCTGACGTATATTTATTCATAACACAGAGAACCCGTGAAAGAAACAAATCGCTCAAAAGTCTGTCTTGAAACATCTGGGGACCTAGGCTGTGCTTTGCCATGCTATTGCACACCAGGATTATCACCGCCCTACCAAATGCCTACAGCTACAGTCGGCAAGAACCAGAATACCAGTCACGGACTCCCCCTGACAACATCTGCCAGGTAGTGTTTGCTTAATTCTCAAAGCTTGAATTGAAACCTCAAGAGTCCTCAAACCACATGGGAGCAAAACCCAGACACACGCAGATAACAAGCACCCAGAACATCTGTAGAAATCAGGATGTCGAGTCTCTTACTAAAAAGTGTTCTACAACATGCTCTCATTACAATAAGCCGTCCTATTCAGTAGTGTGTCTTATTCTGTCTGGGCCATTGTCTCAGAAGCAGCCCAGTTTCCTAAAGCAGTAGATGGGCTTAAAATTGCTTACCTGATTCACAGGCAAATGTCTTTGACGTTTCATCATGAAAGATAATTGCCACTGCGTGCTTCTTTGTCTCTCGAGGCAGTCTGGTTATATTTTTGATATTGTGCAATTCAGTTACCTTGAAAGAAAAAAACATCTTTAAGTTTGTGTATAGTAGATATAATCTATAGTGGAGTGCTGAAACAAAATGATCAGTTACCATTGTCTTAAACCACTTTCAACTGGATATTTTCACTCATTTCTAATTAACTGCAGCCAGAAGCAATAAAGAACAAAACAAAATGTCTTCTAATATGCCCTCAACTTTGGTCACAGATTATGTTATTTGATGCATTTAGAAATGGTCCAAAAATTATGTAGAGGAGCTCCATGGACTCTGTGCTTTTATTAAAATTGTTATCCCCAGAAAATAATCGCAGTTGTGGACTATGAGAATTCTCATGAAATATCTGCCGAATATTGATTGGATTTAAAGTCTCATCTCTTTCCTAACTCTCACTTATCATGCAAGTTCCTGGAAGAACTACAAGCATGAGGCAACTGACAACTATCAATAAAATGACTCTAATATTTGGAGTCAATAAATACAAGCAATGGACCTGTTCTCCAGAAAAATGCACATAGTATTCACAGACCCATATACTGCTTCTCCCACCAAGGCCCATCCAAGATTTATGAACTTAGGTTAACAAATCTTTTCTCATTTTACAATTAAAAATATTCTGTAATCTCATGTGTTTTAGATCTTGACTCTGTATTGGTACATGTTCTTCTGCTACAACGTGTGTATCTTTTATTTTTTCCTCACACTCTGCAAACACAAAATTGCAATAATAATGTTGTATGAGCATTGTCTAATTCACTTCTCAACATGTTTAATCTTGTTTTTCCTTCTAATTTAAAATATTTCTTATTTCTGGGTCAATATTTTTAGTAGAAAGTAGGAAGGATTAATTAGAATAAATGGCCCATTAATATCTTTTTTATGACATTCTATGATGTCATATCTATGATCTTATGACAGTCCATGATAAATTTATTATCTTTTGACTACACTTTAATTTCCCCCTCCAAATATGGAATTTTCTTTCATACTTTTCAAGACTATTTGCTGATTGTTTGATAAACACCTGCACTAAATAAATACTAAAGTTTACCTTTTCTGACTGCATAATCTATCTGCACACACACCCATATATTTGCATCCATACATATTTTTATATATGTGTGTAGATATATACACACATCGTTGGGGATTTAGGTATATCCTAAGGAAATAATATTTTATTATCTTTAACATTTAATGTAGTAAGAATTTAGCAAGCATTTATATCTGTATTTAACATTACACTATGTAAATTAGTCAGTGGTAATCAGTAATAATACAAAACAGCAAAAATCACAGACAAGGAAGCGATAACGTGTATGGGAATGGGCAAATGCCTAGGGTGGAATGGAGACTAAGGAGAGTTGCTAAAAGTTACTTGTCAAAGGGATCACCTAATTCATCAGGTATTTTTATTTTTTTATTTCAGCATAATACAGGGGTGCAAATATTTAGGTTACATATCTTGCCTTTGCCCCACCTGAGTCAGAGCTTGAAGCATGTCCAACACCAGACAGTGCACACCACACCCATTAGATGTGAATATACAACAACCCAACTGCTCATAAATACGAGTGGATTAATAAAATGTGGTATATGTATAACATGGAGCAAAAAAAAAAAAAAAAACAAAAACAATGGTGATCTAGCACCTCTTGTGCTATCCTGGATAGAGCTGAAGCCCATTCTACTAAGTGAAGTATCACAAGAATAGAAAAACAAGCACCACATGTACTCACCATCAAATTGGTACTTACTGATCAACACTCATGTGCACATATAGTAGTAACATTCATCAAGTGTCAGGCAGGTGGGAGGGGGGAGGGGATGGGTATATACATACATAATGAGTGCAATGTGCACCGTCTGGGGGATGGTCATGCTTGAAGCTCTGACTCCGGGGCGGGGGGTAGGGGGGGTTAAGGGCAATATACGTAACCTTAACATTTGTACCCCCATAACATGCTGAAATAAAAAAAAATGAGTCTAAAAACAATGGAAATTATGTGTTGCTTCATAATTTATATGAAAAAGTGAGCACAGAAGTGATATAGTGTCAAGTTACATTATATATAATATCTAGTTGTATCAAACAATATTATAAAAACATTTATAAACCTGTTTTGGGAACCTTTTGCAAATATAAAATACTATTAGAAGAGATATTGCGGTTTCTAGATTTTTTTTGTCCTTTTATAGCAAAAAATCAACAAAATAAACTAATGGATATCTTAGAAAAATACAGCAAACACTAGGGATTTTTTTTACCTTCAGTGCCTTAGGCAACCTGACAGATGATGTAGTTCAAACAAAGTGTTTGCTCTTCTGTAAAATTTACATTTAGAAACGCAGATAGCCTCTTCAAGCAGACATTGTTACAGTGGTTTCTAGAATAATGCAAGACTTTTTGTTGTTAATTAACAGTGTGATGCCATTTACTTTAGTGTGTACCCTAGGAAATTAAAGACATGCCAGGAAAGAAAAACACTAATGAGGAGTATAAAATTCTAGTTTTAAAAAATATTTTGAATCATAAAAATTCAGGTCAAGATCTAATGTATTTGAATCTACTGTCCTCATTTTTCATTCTCAATACTATATGTATTGACTATCCAATTGAAAACTCTTTGTATTTACTTAGATGAGGACAATTTTAAAATAATTTCTAAAATATTTTAAAACAAGAATGTTTTTGTTCATCTAAAACCTGTCACATGACATAACAATAATTATAATTCATTAAAATTGTGAGGTTCTGGAACTTTCCAATAATAAATACCATCACTAAAAAATACAGTATGTATTAATATTTCTGAAATATTGATTTTTAACATAGGTATAAAAGCACAAAATACTGATTAAAGTGTAATAAAAGCATTAAAATAAATTATCTTAAATAAATATGGAATTAACAGAATTGAATTAAAGAAATAACTGCTGGAAAAAAAATTCAGGTTGCTCAGGTCCAAATCAATAAATGCCATGATCAAAAATTTAAAATATTAAAGTCTGATAAGTGAAAGAATCAATGCCTAAATATAACCTTACCCAAATGACGACATTGCTAACCAATGCTATTAAATTTTTATCTTAAAGAGCAATCCCTAAGCAACTCACGGTGCTAAGTGCAGACAAATCAAAGGAGTTCCGGAGGACTTCGTAATTTAGTTTGGGTAACAAGATTAGAAATAACTCTGATAAACCCTATGATAGAAGGAAAAAAACAGAAGTAAGGGAGCATAGAGGAAGACTATCTCCGTTCTAATTTATGAGTCCTACAACCACTTTATAGGCATGACGCTTGGAATTTAAAGAAAAAGATAAAAAAAAAAAATAGACAACTTCCGAAGTATATTCTCACCTAACTTTATTCATGTGGGTTATATCTGTTAATGATTACCATAAGAGATATTAGAACTTATAAACTATTAAATATTTATTTTTTATTTATTCATGTGTTTAAAAATAGTAATACACTCATTTCATGGAGTGATAAGGAAACAGAGCACAAAGCCTTCTGGAAAACTCATTTATTGACATTTGATGGGGACCAACAGCAAGGCTGACTTGTTACCATGCGAGTAACCTCACCTCACCTCACCTTTGGAGTTATCTCCTCTCAGTTAGGGAACTAGCCACTAGGGTAGGGGAAATCTACCTGCAGAAGTCATTCAAATGTTTACATGAGAAGGTCTGAATGTTGTGGAGGCTTGTGGCCCTGTTCCGCTCTCTGCCTTGTTTATGGCCAATAATTGTTTTTTGTTTGTTTGTTTTGATTTTTTTTTCTTTTCTTTTTCTGGATTGGGCACATTAACAGGTAACAAAAAAGCAGCAGCACGGAGGACCTGCTGTCAACCTCAAAAGCCAGTGCAAAGAACACGAGAGAAGAGAATGGTACCACTGTCTTCCCTGCAGTAAAATTACAAGGAGTCTCCAGGTTGCTCTCTTTAAGTGCACGAAACATTTCATTGTAAAATAATTCCTCCATACTTTTATAGTCTATAATCGTAGACTTGTTGGTGATTTTCACAAGGATCTTAAAAAAATACCTGGCTAGTATCTATGAACGTTATTATTACTAGATGTGTTTTTTTTTTTTTTTTGTTTTTGTTTTTTTTGAGACAGAGTCTCGCTTTGTTGCCTAGGCTAGAGTGAGTGCCGTGGCGTCAGCCTAGCTCACAGCAACCTCAAACTCCTGGCTCAAGCAATCCTTCTGCCTCCCAAGTAGCTGGGACTACAAGCATGCGCCACCATGCCCGGCTAATTTTTTATATATATATATTAGTTGGCCAATTAATTTCTTTCTATTTATAGTAGAGACGGGGTCTCGCTCTTGTTCAGGCTGGTTTCGAACTCTTGACCTCGAGCAATCTGCCCGCCTCGGCCTCCCAGAGAGCTAGGATTACAGGCGTGAGCCACCACGCCCGGCCTAGATGTGGTTTTTGTAACTCTGCTTCTTGTTGGCTGTTCTGGAATCAAAACAGAGGAATGGGTACTTGAAATAAAGAAGTTCTATGTTTACTTCACACATCTGACAGCTGGGAAGAACTAGGATGAGTAGACCAGGCTTGTTGACCTACCATTATGTATGAGACAGAAAGTATTATAGAAAGAAGATCAGTTCTGCTGGCATAAAAAATAAAAATAAAAAAATTGGCAACAGCTGGAGAGATCCTTGCTGTAAAAATGTTGCAGCTGTTCAAAAGATACAAGGCTATGATTAGGTACAAACTCTGCTGACATCCATCAGTTTTTAAAAGTGTCACAAATGGAAACAAGAATAGAAAAGTCTGAGAGAAACTGCTTGCATGTATGACATTGTATCAATCTACGCATGGTGCCCAAGTTCAAATCATGGGTAGACAACCCATCAAACTTGGTTCTCAGGCAAGATTACACAGATGCTAAAAGTAGTACAGTGTATCCTTACACCAAATCCTAACTGATCTTGCAAGCACGTTGACTTTTGTCCAGTAAATTATATAGTCCAAAGGGAAGGGAGAAAAAAGAGC